TACCAATTGATTGTATTGATTGAGCGTCATCTTAATCACTATCTAATCACACTCAGGGAGATGCTTGAGAGCACCCTAAATTGGCTAGCATTATAACTAATGCCGGCTAACTTTGTCGGTATTAAGTCCTTTCAGAAATCTTCTTTCGGGATTTTAATGTAAAATCGATCAACTCACGTGAGTTGAATAAAAAAATCTTCACAATGTAATTCAAAATGGAATATCTTATTTATGCCAAAATTTTTTTTTATACAGTACTTTATTTTATACATGTTTTTTAATCACACTACCAAAACCATTACTCTACAAATTTATAAATTTCTACATTTTATCACAATTTATCTTTAATCTAACTTGCGCAAAATGCAAAGACATCCTCTGGGACTGTCATATTCTTAATTTTCGATGGTAACTCAATTAATTGTAAGGCCATGCCTTTGATTAAGTGCCAATGCATATGACAGTGCATTAACCATACTCCAGGATTGTCTAGACGGTAACGGATTACAGTTGTACTGTAAAATAGATGAAACAGTTGTTAGTTTTTAAAATAATCTTATGTCTCAAGTAAGCATTTAAAATATCTAAAGTACCTATTTCCTAGAACGGTTACTGTATCACGAAAGGCAGGATTGACTAAGTTAAATTTCGATGGATCTGGGAGTTCAAGGCCAGTTTGATTTTCTCCATTATAAACAACGAAAAAACTGTGCCCATGCTATTTCTTTTTCAGAATTTGCCTCGAAAATAATAATAATAATAATAATAATTAATTTTAATAAATAATTACACTTACCATATGGAACGGATGAGAATTACTAGTGTTAGCAGTAATATATAAATCAACAGCTGCATCATTGCAATATATGGCGTTTATAGAATAGCGATCATATGTATAAGTATTTTCATATTGCGGAAATGTATGCGTATTTATTCCATTAATAATTCTTCGATTTGTCGGATAATTAGCGTTAGCAACCTTAAAAATAAAAAATGAATTGAATATATATATATAATTCTTTGATATATACAATAACACTTACAAATATTTAAAAGAAAAACTTACAAAACTTGAATTATCAATGAAAGCAATTGATCCAGTCGTCGCTAACTTGCCAAAAGAGACCATTATACGGATATTATGAGTAACACATTGTGGTGGTTTTATATCATATGGCTTTAAAATGTTTGGATTCACGTCTCTACATTCTTCTGATGCATTAAATGGATAAGGTTTTGAAGCTGGAGCTTTCACGTTTGCATCTTCATATTTTAAAATTCCCATAACATTCTCATAATTTACTGAAGAATTATAATTTATGGTTTGATTATTAATCGGTGTGCAAATCGTTTGTTTAGCACGAATATAATAATTTTTAATTGACTTGTTAGCATTAAGAATTATTGAATATCTTTGTGCAGTATGAATTGGAATTGTATTTAGAGTGACTGGAGGTTTTATTAAATGACCATCAACTTCAATGATAGTAAGCGGATGTTCATCAATTGAAAATATAAAATGAGTTGCCGCACTTATATTTATGATTCTAAATCTATATTTTTTACCCTTTTTAACTGTATAAGTGGCTATTCCATTGTTCGGATTACATGAGTCTCTAGAGGCAGTAGAACAATTAAATTGTCCTATGCCACTAATTTCACCAGAATTAGGAATAGGATCATTCCCTTTGTAATTCGGAGAAAGAAGGATTGGATGAATGTCAACGGATGTCATATGATACCAATCTGATAGTGTTAACACGTATTCGAAATCGTATTCTTTAAGATAAGGGTCTTTGGGATTATGAATAATTAATGGGCCTTTAAGGCCATCAGCAAGTTGACCCGCGAAGTGCGAATGGTACCAAAAAGTGCCTTGATAAAATATTAAGTATTAATTAAAATAGTTTTTTTTAGGAAATATAAATATATTTTTTTAAAAAAATACCATATTGGTTAACGGTAAAATTGTAAAGAAAATTTTGAAGATTGGGGATCGGACATTGCGTTACACCTGGAACACCATCATAAAAGTTTGTGCCTGTTTGAAATATACCATGCCAATGAACTTAAAGAATTAGGAAAATTATTAGAATCAAATTTATTATTTGAATTTTTGAAGCAACCAACAAATCTAATTTACTTGTAGAAGGTTCCCCCAATTTGTTGGTTACATTAATGAGAAGTCTGTCACCATAGTTTGCTTGAATTATCGGAGCAGGATATTGCTTATTAACAGTCCACCTAAATTTCACAAGAACAAATTAATAAGAAACGAGATAAATTAAAATTTTATTTTAAGCTTAATAAAATTTATGGATCTTACACAGGACGCTTAACTCCGTCAGGTGCTAACTCTTTTATCACAAGTTCTAAATTGTAACAACGAGTCACCGGGCCGTTACTTGAAGGTAAAGGTTTAAGAATTTTAAACATGTCTGAAGAAATATTTGAGCATTTTAAATCAATTGAGTCACTTAAAAGACTAAACAACACGAGTAAAATGATTACTAAATTAATTTTCATCTTTATTTTAAATAAAGGATGTAAATGTTCAAATTCTCACTTTTTATAACTTTCGACTATAAAAATTTTTACCTAGTGAATAAATTTAAACCGCACCATTCCTTCGAAAATAGCTGGTACAGCAAACACGTACATACGTACTTATCTCCTTATCGGCATAGCGATGATTGACATAATCGTCCCAAAAATTTTTTACTTAACTACTACTGTACATATTACAGCTGTTTTCGATTTAGTTGAATCGACGATCTGCACAATTTTTTTTTTTTTTTGAGTCCGTGAATACCATATACGTAGATACAGTAGCACTTTATATTCGTCGTATTTTGTGGAAATTATTTAACAATAAAAGGGAAATCTATGAATTCTAAAATGAGTCCTGCGAAATATGCCGAAATTGAAGTGATTCCCTTATTGTATTCACAGGACTCGCGAGATTAGAATTCCAATCCATTAAGAATTTATCCGGATAATTAGATACGGATAAACAGATGATTTATCCGGATTGGAACTCTAGCGAGAAAAACTTTATGCAGACCGTCGATCCAACTAGCTATAAAATTAAAGCGAGTAAAATTTAATCCTTACAATAAAATTATACAAAATATAATTTCGGTATAGTCTAGATTTTTGAAAATTTTCCAGACAATTAGTAATGCGAACAGGTCACTTGTTCTTGCTTTGATGTACTACTAATCCGAATATTCATTTCCTTAAATCAGGTTAACTGAAATAGATGATCAGTAATTTTTTTTTTTTTCGAACAATTATGTAAAATGGTCTCAATTTAGGATCTAAAATTCAGAGAAATCATTCAATACCGACATTGCAGCAAACATTTGAATCTGCGAAAATAGATAGACCATGGGGAAGTGACGAATCAGGGATCAATGGAAATGGAAGATTCTTTAGTTATCGTTGGCCACTGCTTACAGTATTCCCACCCATGATTAATATTCGGATATTGCTACGTATATATATTGATTTACCAATTTTAATATAATATATCCCCCAAATACAATACCTGGTTCTTCACACAGTACCCATCTAATTTTTGATATGTGCAAAAAACTTATTTATTAATTTCTTGTATCAATATTAATGGAATTAAAATAAAAATTCAATTATAATTAGATGATTATTAATTATCTGTTATTAATTATCTGTTATTAATTATCTGTTATCTTTGTTAAAGTTTAAAATTATTGCGGTTTGCAAAAGTATATGAAACTTGCAAATCAAAAAAAAAAAAGAATGTAATCAATTATTTCTGTTTGTTTCTGATTTTTTAAACATTATTTTTGCAAACCGCAATAAACTACTATCAGATTTTTTAATATTATACGTTACTATATTGACCACGTGATATTGGTTATGCAATATGATTTGTAATTGGGGATCATCAAAGTGAATGGCTGGTGTTGCAGAACGGACATTGCACTTTAATATAAGAGATTTAAGATATTATTAAATTAGATCATTTCAAAAACTAGAATCTCATCGATACTAACTTTAAGTTAAGCTAGCTAATTTTAAATCGATCCGACATTAGCCGTTGGGAAAACAATAGTTGGGGTAAGTGTCAGAGTGTCAAGGTACAGAATATATAGTGCTTTAACTAATAAGGTAGCCGCGAGACAATGTCAAACAAGACCAGGGACGTAAATTATGAATAATGACATGCATCATCTATTTATTCTATTAAAATTTTATCCGTTTGTAGTTCTGCAAGCTTTACCCAATAAATTAGATAATATCATGCAAAACCAGGAACAGAAGGTATATTCTCAGAAGTTCAGCAGTTTTTAACCTGTTTCTCATTAGATGTTGTATTTTATCGCCCTTTTCGATTTAGTTGGGTCGATGAATTTATTCATATACCCTGCGTATAATAACTATTTGTAATTGTTAGCTGTTTATAATGTTATGATAATAAACAGCCAACAAAATAATTATTATACGCATATATGGACTCACGTACACAAAAAAATCGAAAAGAGCGATAATTTTATCAGCATTCGCCAAATATTCACTTTCAATTACAATTTCAGACTTCTGTAGATAGTAATTTGAGCGCTAATTGCTTTATTTAAAAAACGACAAAATTACAGTATCGTGTGAGTTATGTCATTAGAATAATCCATATTTTCAATTAAAAAATTTCTATATAATAAAACAACAAAAAGATCTATTATAATCTTATATTATTTCAAAAAATAAATCTGATTTTTTTTTTCTTTTAGAATGTACTATATGTTTGCATTTTCTTTTTTAAACGATTTGCTCATAAGATTTTTTTTAGTGATTATTACTAGAATAGCGTCACGGAACGTTTTAAGAAACTAAGAACTCGGAGTGTGTAAAGGACCCGCTCCTACTTTTATAAATCCTGATTCGGTGTTATGTATAATTTCTAACCATAATGATATATAACACTGAATCAGTAATAAAATACACAGGTAGAACTATAAAAATTTTCTAAAACTATAGAATACCTTTGTTAAATATTACCTTTTCTAAAAAAAATGTATATACAAAACTTTTAGTGTTATGTACAACTTCTATTGTGGTATTCTAAACAGAATTTTATAACGCATCTATAAGATCATATACGTATAACATGAGATCTGAACAAACTGAAACATAATAATTTAGGACAAGAGTTAGTATTAAAGTAAAGATAGAGAAGTAGTAAAGACCGCCTTTACTTAAATTTTCGCAAGGAATTTTTTTGTTAGAATGTTAAAAGGAGTTTCATAAGCAAAATTATGCGTTTTTTTAAAATGTCTATTTTATTCACGTTACACGGTCTGATAGTTGATAAAATTGCATATCACACTAAAGATCTTTGAAAGAATACCTGTAAGGTTTATTGTTCTACCTGTGATAGGTGTATTTACTGTTACACTCTACTGTATGGATCTAGTTATTCATACTGTATACTGATCTGTATAAGATTATTTTTGTTTATTAACATATGGAAAGCAGTAATATTGCAAGTCTTTAATAATAATTTTGAAAGTTTTCAGCTAATCGACTTACCTCGAAAAGTTATTTATTATTTATTATTTATCTGTAATGTTATTATTACTCCATTATTGTCAATGGCTTGATCATATTCATTAATTCTTATTTGTCTGTTTTATATTAAGAAGGAATTAGAAAAATTATATGGTGTTAATTATAACACCATGTAAAACAAAATATAAATTGAACATGCATATTTTAAAAAACAGGTAAAATTAATTTCTTAATTAATAATATGGTTTGAATTAAATCTATATTAAGGTCCATAAAATGTGGTACGAATGCTTACTAATAATTCATGATATATCTTTTTTAACCTTTAAATAGATTGTCGAAAGTAATAATTATAACTGGTAAAGATGTTAATTATGCATTTAAAAATTCAATAGCTTTGAAAATTTAAAGCGACTAATTTTTTTATGTAATAATATCTAATAAATTCGAAATCATATAGCACCGTCTTTCATTTAAAATATATATATTTCGGCTAACAATTAAATTATATGGTCAGAGGGAATATTTTCAGTTTCGGTAAAATTTTTAATGTCAGACACTGATGTTTTAAAAAAGGTATAAAATTAAAAAAGTTTAAAAAAACAGGTTAACCCGTTTTTTTTTTTTTTACCATCCCTAGCCTTGGGCCGAATTGTGCTGATTATAGGCAAAAGTGATCTTAATATAAACGGTTAACGGTTATACAATAGTGTGACTGTGTATGCTGATTAATTGGGGATATTCCCACAGTAATTATCGCGGATCATAATGAATGAGAGTTTCTATTTAACCCTCTAAACCCCACTTATACTTGAACTCTATCCTCTAACCCTAAAAATGCACCTCAAAATTTTATTTTCGGTGGATTGTCAATATTTACATCGTACTTAATCCAATTTCATTTTAATCCGTCACAATTAATGATTCAAGATCATCGCAAAATCAGAAATTAAAAATTTATCATATTTGTTATAGCAAAATTTATTGTAATTTCCTTATTTGAATAGTTTCAAAGAAAAAAATTTATAAATATTTTAGACTTCATTTGCCATACGTTTTTTCATTCTGGGTGCTACTCATTAACGCCCATAAAATCATGCAACGTAAATCTGCCAAAACGTTTCATGAATTTGAAAACGTTTTGTAAATATTAAATATTACTGTATGTTCTTGTTCTTGCACTTGCAATTGTTCAGTAAGAGAAAATCTTTAATTAATAAAAAATAGTAATTATGTCAATGAATATATGAAAAATAAAATTTTCAGGTTGGATCTTCTGCCGGACTGATTATTTGATAATCTCTAAATTCGCTTTGTTAATAATCGAAGGTGTATGACTTTCCACAACGATCGTAGTGATCTACTTACTAACAATGAAGTCAATGCCATTTGATTGGTTGTCAAAGAATGCCATCACAATCATTAACAATTGTTTAATCACGATAAAACCGATTCAAATATTTTTACGGTAACTAATCATGTGCCTACCGTGCGCTGGGAGCTTTTTTTTTTTTTTTAGTTTGAGTTTGAATTTTTACACTAAATTATTCAGACAATCAAGATTCAGGTCAAGTGTCATAAAGAAACTCTTCGCTGTTTTCGTAAATTTATTAATTGACATGCGGCATTTGTAGACATATTATTTTAATTGATATGCATTTACAAAATAACTTATGCTGAAGAGTAAAAAACTGGATTTAAAAAAATAAAATAAAATAGATAAAGTAAGCAATATATATATATATTATATGCTTATCTAAATACTAAAACTAAATTTGTTTACATCGAACAAATATTTTACACATAGAAAGTAAGCAATTTAGGAATTTTTACACTCACCACGTAAAAGATGCTCAAATTTCCACATTAATTTTGCCTGCAAGACATGA